CAGTGCGATGGATCCCCAGTGGTCCGGAAATAGCTGACGTGTTGCAGTCCTTTGTATTGCTAGAGTAATACTTTTCTCGTAGCGACGTTTGCGTGATTTCCCAAAGGCGTGGTATCCCTCTTCCCTGTGTTGTCCCTTTGCATATGAGCTCGTGAGCAACATTGATCGTAGAGGAATCGTGTGGGTGTAGTAGAGATGGCTTTGATGTATGTGTATCAGCATCGGTAATATGTCACAGTGTAGGTTGAGCAATGACAGGCTGCTGGAGAACACTCTGATGGTGCTGTCCCCGGCTAGCAAGGCTCCCAGTTGTAGTACCTCTATCACTGTACCCACTCCGGCTCACTCTCTCCTCAGGCACGAGTGATATCTTCTTGCGTATCTTAGGGTGTTGTGCGGACCTGCCTCAACGAAGTCGTGATGCTGTGAAGGTGGGCTCAATGTGGATGCTGCTCCTCGAGGACTTGCAGGTGTCTGTCTGCCCACAGGTCCTCTTGCATAAGCATGTTGGCCTGCAGAATGCCTTCAACCGCCTATTTGAGGAGCTCTGCGCGTCGACCCTCTCCAGGCTGGATCAGGAGACTGTAGCTGACGTTGTATATGCGTGTGCGAGGATAGGCTATGATGACGGCATGTTTGTAATACTCAGCTTGTACTTTGTGATACCTCTAGCTTTCTCGATTTGGTCCATCCGGCTGCCGTAGGTCCAGCGATTGATCGAGCACGTGGACCAGCATTTGGCGAGCAGTGGGGGCTTCCATTCATTCCAGAGTATGGCTCGGTTGGTATATGCTCTCTGTGAGCTCAACACAAGGCTTGATATGGCGAGAGTACGTTGAAGGGGTTTGCTGCTTAGGTGTAATGATCTGCCCAGGTACTGTGTCGTGAGGCCATCGATGGTCAGATGTGGGAGGGCGGCAGTGGGGATGATGTACTCCTGTTGGCGTGGGCTGCTGTGGTAGGCTTGTTCATGAAGGTCATTCTCAATGCTGAGTCTCAGTTCCTATCGCTACCACCACCGGTTGACCTCATAACGGAGATGTGTGTGCTGTTCGAGGAAAGGCTGCCGACCCAGCTCCTCTTGGCTCAACAGGTAAACTACAGTGTCACCACTTGGGTGTCACCGCGTCAGTGGAAATTTATCATGTGGGGCGGCTTGTATCGCATCGATGAATGGATTCAACGGACGTCTCTTAGTACAGCGTGATGGGCGTTGC